TATTCTGAACTGGACAGCATAAAGGTCCTTTTGCAACCTTTCTTCAAGAAAATGGTATAGTGGCACAATACACAACCTCAGGTACTCCCTAGCAAAATGGGGTTGCAGAATGAAAGAACAGGACCTTCAAAGACATGATAAGATCGATGTTTGCCCACTCTAAGCTGCCAATCTTTCTCTAGGGTGAAGCATTAAAACTGCAAACTACATCTTGAATAGGTACCAAGTAAGTCAGTTGACATGGTGCCTTTTGAAGCATGACTGGAAGAAGACCAAGCTTCAACCACTTCCATATATGGGGTTGCAAAGCTAAGGCAAGGTTTTACAATCCAGCTGAGAAGAAACTAGATCCCAGAACCACGAGTTGCAGCTTTATTGGTTATTCTGAGAAGTCCAAAAGGTACAAATTTTATTGTTCTCATGGTCACTCCAGAATAATGGAGACATATAATGCAAAATTTGTTGAAGAATTGGATGAAGTTCAATTCACTAAAGGTGTGTTAACATTTCCAGAATTCGAAGAATTAGCTACTGATAACAGCTTCAGTGGTTTCTTTCCTTAACAAGGAACTATGTTATCTATGCCAACACATATACAACCTGAGTTTCCCAATGCAGATATCAACCTTTTGAGGATTGACACACAAGTACCTGTTGCAAATGACATTGCAGAAATGGAAATGGACCTTACACTTCCATTGGATGATCCAATTTCAGATGTTAGCACTACAATGGAAGCAGCAGCTCACGATCAAATTTATGAAGAAACAGTGAGTGTAAGAAAATCACAAAGAGCAAGGAAAACAATCATTCTTCTGGATTTCGTATACCTAAATAAAGCTGAGTACAATTTAGGAGATGAAAATGATCCTATCACTCATCATCAAGCTATCACTAGCATGAGATCCAAATTATGGCAAGTTGCAATGGATGAGGAATTGGAGTCTATGCAGAAGAACCAGGTATGAACTCTAGTTTCAAAATCGAGTGGGGTTACTAAAATAGTAGGTTGCAAGTGGGTTTACAAAACTAAGAGATATTCACTTGGTAACATTGACAAACACAAAGCTAGATTAGTTGCAAAGGGGTTCACACAAAGGGAAGGAATCGATTATAATGAGACTTTTTCTCCTATTTCAACCAAAGACTCCATGAGAGTCATTTTAGCACTCACTGCACACTTAAGACCTGGAACTGCATCAAATGGATGTCAAGAATGTGTTTCTAAATGGAGATCTTGAAGAAGACATATACATGACTCAACCACCAGGATTTGTTGAAAGGGGGAAGGAGTTAATGGTCTACAAATTGAACAAGTCCAATTATGGTTTGAAGCAGGCTTCCAGACAATGGAACAAGAAGTTCGATACTGTAATGTCGAACTTTGGTTTCCAAGAAAATAAGATGGATGAATGTGTATATCTTAAGGTAAGTGGCTCAAAAATCATCTACTTAGTCTTATATGTGGATGATATTCAACTTGCCATTTCGGATCTCACCTTGCTACAAACTACCAAAGACATGTTAGCTACAAGTTTTGACATGACGGACTTGGGGAAAGCCAAGTTTGTGCAGGGCATAGAAATCATTCGAGATAGAAACAAAAGAGCTCTTGGTCTCTCACAAAGGCAATATGTTGACAGGATCACTAAAAGATTTCATATGGAGAAATGCGCTGGTGATGAATTACCAATTGGGAAGGGGGACAAAATGAGCAGTGAACAAAGCCCCAAAAATGAGTTAGAGAAGGAAAGTATGAAAGACAAGCCTTATGCATCATTTGTGAGAAGCTTGATGTATGCTTAAGTGTGTACAAGACCAGACTTGGCATTTGCAGTTAGTGTATTAGGCAGGTTTCAAGCAAATCCTGGACCACCTCACTGGGTTGCAGCCAAGAAAGTCTTGAGATATCTCAAGAGAACCAAAGATTTCATGCTCATTTTAAACATGTTGATGCACTTGAGTTATTGGCTTATACTGATTCAGATTTGGCAGGTGTATTGATGATCAAAGATCAACTAATGGATACATATTTATGCTTACTGGTGGTGTTGTGTCATGGAAAAGTGCTACACAGAAATTGACTGCTTCGTCAACAATGGAGGCTGAGTTTATTGGATGTTATACTATAACTAAATATGCAAATAGGCTTAGAAATTTGATAAGGGGATTAAGTGTGGTAGACAACATTGAGAAACCACTTAAGTTGTACTGTGACAACAAGGCCGCAGTGTTTTTCTCGAAGAATAACAAGAGATCACTTGCAAACAGACTTATGGATATGAAGTACTTGAAGGTAAAAGATGAGGTAAGAAAAGGAACTATTGATATTCAACACATAAGCACAGAACTTATGGTTGCTGACCTTCTTACAAAGGCCTTACCAGTGGGAATATTTAAGAAGCACACTTTTGATATGGGAATGAGATATTCTTTTAATTCTGTCAATGAGCGGGAGTGAGCACTCGATTGATTCTTATGTGATACTTTCAGTGAAATAAATGTTAACCAAGGTATTAAAATTACAACATTTATTTATTTCACCTACATCACACACTCATTTCACCTACATCATCCATTTACTTTACCTACAACCTCCACTCATTTCACCTACATCATCCACTTACTTCACCTACAACATCCATTTACTTTACCTACAACCTCCACTCATTTCACCTACATTATCCACTCACTTCACCAAAAAAATGAATGGTGGTGATTCACTCTCAAAGCCTATAAATAGGCTTCTCCATCAAGAGGAATGGACACCAATTCACAAATACATTTCTCTACTCCTAAAATGGAAGAGAATACTCCCCACACATCCAAAATCCTTGAAGCTTTGAAACTCTAAAGCTCTCAAGCATCCAACCCCCAAATTCCCAAGAATCCCGAAGAATGGAGAAAGCACTCTTCATTCTTCGTCAAATCCTCCTTCAAGATCAAGCCCCGACGGCCCTTGAAGAACTTCCACCAACTCAAGATCAAGCCCCGACGGCCCTTGAAGAAAGTGTTCATCGTTCATCCTAAGATCAAGCCCCAACGGCCCTTTGGATCAACAGCACAAACAAATCCACACATCTATTCTTCAAGATCAAGCCCACAAAAGCCCTTGAAGATCCTTGAAGATCCATTCATCAACTGTTCATCCTTAGATCAAGCCCCGACGGCCCTTTGGATCAACAACTCATCCATAACACACCAAAACCTTGAAGCCTTAAAGTTCTAAAGCTCTCAAGAAAATCCCGAAGGATCAAGAAAGCACTCTTCGTTCTTCGTCAAATCCTCCTTCAAGATCAAGCCCCAACGGCCCTTGAAGAACTCCCACCAATTCAAGATCAAGCCCCGACGGCCCCTTGAAGAAAGTGTTCATCATTCATCATCCGTTCATCCTAAGATCAAGCCCCAATGACCCTTTGGATCAACAACCTCAACAAACCCAACAAACCCATACACCCATTCTTCAAGATCAAGCCCAACGCCCCTTGAAGATCCATTCATCAACTGTTCATCCTTAGATCAAGCCCCAACGGCCCCTTGGATCAACAAACAAATCCACACATCTATTCTTCAAGATTAAGCCCAAAAGCCCTTGAAGAAAACCAACTGTTTATTCAAGATCAAGCCTCAACGGCCCTTGAAGAAAACTAACTGTTCTTCAAGATCAAGCCCAACAGCCCTTGAAGATCCGCTCATCCATCAACATTCAAGATCAAGCCCAAAAGCCCTTGAAGAAACTTCCATCAACCTTCAAGATCAAAGCCACGAAGGCCCTTGAAGAAAGTGTTCATCATTCATCATCCGTTCATCCTAAGATCAAGCCCCAACGACCCTTTGGATCAACAACCTCAACAAATTCACACATCCAATCGTTCTTCAAGATTAAGCCCAAAAGCCTTGAAGATCCGCTCATCCATCAACCTTCAAGATCAAGCCCAAAAGCCCTTGAAAAAATCCACACAACCATTACTCAAGATCAAGCCCCGATGGCCCTTGAAGAAAGTGTTCATCGTTCATCATCCGTTCATCCTAAGATCAAGCCCCAATGACCCTTTGGATCAACAACCTCAACAAATCCACACATCCAATTGTTCTTCAAGATTAAGTCCAAAAACCCTTAAAGATCCACACATCTATTATTCAAGATCAAGCCCAAAAGCCCTTAAAGAAAGTGTTCAATTGTTCATCCTTAGATTAAGCCCCCGACGGCCCCTTGGATCAACAAACAAATCCACACATCTATTCTTCAAGATCAAGCCCAAAAGCCCTTGAAGAAAACCAGCTGTTCATTCAAGATCAAGCTTCGACGGCCCTTGAAGAAAACCAACCGTTCTTCAAGATCAAGCCCAAAAGCCCTTGAAGATCCGCTCATCCATCAACCTTCAAGATCAAGCCCAAAAGCCCTTGAAGAAGTCCATACACCTCTCCTTCAAGATCAAGCCCCGACGGCCCTTGAAGAACTTCCACCAACTCAAGATCAAGCCCCGACGACCCTTGAAGAAAGTGTTCATCGTTCATCCTAAGATCAAGCCTCAACGATCCTTTGGATCAACAGCACAAACAAATCCACACATCTATTCTTTAAGATCAAGCCCAAAAGCCCTTGAAGAAAACCAACTGTTCATTCAAGATCAAACCCCGACGGCCCCTTGAAGAAAACCAATTGTTCATTCAAGATCAAGCCTCGACAGCCCTCGAAGAAAACCAACCGTTCTTCAAGATCAAGCCCAAAAGCCCTTGAAGATCCGCTTATCCATCAACATTCAAGATCAAGCCCTGAAGGCCCTTAAAGAAACTTCCATCCTTCAAGATCAAAGCCACAAAGGCCCTTGAAGAAACTTACAACTGTTCATCCAAGATCAAGCCTCGACGGCCCTTGGATCAACAAATATACATCTTACGGAGATCGAATCAGAGGACCAAATTTGAGAGATCGTAACCCCAAAATCATTAAACACAAAAATATTATTTTTGTACACGTATTCTTGTTTCTTGTTTTCAGGAATTTTTCGTGTTCACAGATACATTCAATTGTTGGTTATTATTCTCTATCAATTTCCTTTGTTATTTGAACCATGCATGAGTTTATCAGTATGGAAATTTCATAACTGATATATTAATCTTAACAGATTTCGTACCCAAGTTAATTTCAGTTTATTTTGTGAACTAATGTTTTGATTATTAGTTCTTGACACCGTGACTTTGTTAGCAACAAGGTGCTTTAAGTTGAATGTGTATGTAATCTTGGAGTGAAAGGAACATACAAAGTTGTTCTTTGTTTTCTTTGGTTCTACATTCGATTCAAGGTGACAGGTTGCTAGGAAAGGTTGTTGCATACTTATGAAGACTCAGTGATCACCATGAGTTCTTATTTGTTAGGATAATTCATTGACATTCAAGTGGGAGAATGTAAAGTTATGAATGACAATGAATGATATATTGGATTACTTGTGTTATAAGGCACTTGATTATCAAGTTGTTAACGGCATATGTAATCTAATAGTCCTATTGAAATAAGGATTATGAAGTCTTAACCTTTGCAATTGACCTCAAAGAAATCTGACAGGTTTCGCTACAAAGATATAGAATCATGGTGGGGCTCAATCACTTAAGTGATAGGGTTTGTTTATCACAACCAATAATAGGCCGGCTGTGAATAAACCCTAATGATATAAATACTATGGTTATGTCCCTACTTCCATATGCTGAATCTCTAAAATACGTTGAACCTTTTTCATATAGCTGAGAGATATTATTGAAGTACTGGAAGTAAAAGACAACCTAGAACTCTGCAATGTCTTCTGCTTCCTCAGGTAAGTTTTACGTAGACCTTATATGTTGCATATCTGCATGCAGTGCATCCTTGTTTCATAGAAATATGATTCACGTAATCCTACAACCTTATTTCTTCTTTATCACATGCATGTCTATATAAATGCATGTTACTTATGTAATCCTTACACAACACAATTCCATAAAAAAAATGAAGTAACAACCATACAAAACCCCGAAAATTTGTCAATTTAGCTTACCATCCGAGTGGATTAGTGACTTGGGCAATCCATTCGGCCTCAGTGCCTTGTCATTCACCCCTTCTATGTACTTGTTGACCTCAACCTGCATTCTGCAAGATCAAGAAGTAAACTTTTTTCTCAAAACTATCCCAAGAAAAAAATTGCAATAAAATTTCAAGCAATATCGATGAAAACTAAATGAAAACATTCTATTGAGCATTCAAATTACAAAAGTTTCATAAAATTTAGAAATTTGGGGACTGACCCAATAAATTTGATGGTGTTTCCTGGCTCATCTTTGATTGGGGTAATGGTGAGAAGATTCCGGAAGGGAGTTCCACTTTTCTTGTAGTTGAAGAGCCTACCGCAGTAACTTTTCCCGGTCTTCACCGCGTGTCGGATCTTCGACACTTCGTCCCAGTCCGTTTCCGGTCCCTGAAGAAATCGGCTGCATCCAAAATATCACAATTTTAGGGCACCAAATTGCTTTCTTTCTTTTCGATGTCTTCGTCTTCGTGGAGGTGAAGCCATACGTTGTGGTTAATTGAAACTCGGACCAGAAATTTTGACCTAAATTGAACGAAACCCTAAAATTGCTACAAAGGGGACTGAGCTGAACTGAAGGGAGTGAAGCTGCGCGGTAACTATTTCCCAATTTCAAGTTACGATGTAGTTATAGCACCTGTTTGGTTTAGCTTAAAACGCCGGGGCGCAAGACATAAAACGTCAGTAACGAAAAAAAAATCTCACTTGGAGTAGTTCTAGGGTAATGCAATCCACCATGTTATTTTGTCAAATTATCGTGTATGGAAATGAAAACAATATGTCTCAGAAATGGTCCAAATTGATACTCGAACAATTATATCATACTACGTTACCAGAGGCGGATGGAAATAGGACCCAGGCGATCCCATGACCATTCTGGTCCAAAAAATATATATGTGAAGATTTTTCAATGATCCTTCAAATGTTTGGTAACGGTCTCTTTTTTTCCTACTAAATGTTTGATGTAATGCATGCTATACATATCTCAGCAGACTGTTTTGGCAACACTTGACAAAATTCTCTCCATTTCACTCATTAGATTGCTTCTTCGTATGCCTATATATGTTGACATGTGCACAAGAAGCTCACCAAGTGACTAAACTGATTTTTTTTTTTTTTTTTTTTTTTTTGCGCACTTCGCATTTTGTTTCTATTTAAAAAACTTATATTTAATACTGAGACCCCCAAGGTTCAAATCCTAGATCCGCCATTGTATGTTAGGATATGATTATTAACTTGATCGTATATTAAAATTGAAATAGGTAACATGTTAGACTAGAACCGGCTAATTATCCAATACATCTAAGCAATCCTAAAAATCAGTCCAATGTCAGAAACGGTTCAATGTGCTAAAAATCAGTAACTTACCAGTTCCTGCCAATGACCTCCTTTGAAGAATACCCAGTCATCCCAAAGAAGCCACTACTAGCATACATAATTGGACAATCAGGTTCAGTGGCATCAGAAACAACAAAAGTCTGCTGAAGTGTAGCATACATAACTGGAAGCATGACCACCATTTGAATCAGTGGCAGAAGTGCTTTTTGGATCGGCTGAAGCTTGAGCAGTTTCGAATGCCATCCACTTGGTGATGGAATTCCTTTTAGCAGCAGGAGCGGAAGTGTTTGTTGAAGAACTGCTTACTGGTCCAATATCCACAGTACCAGCAGCTTGCTTGTTGCTAGGGTTTGCTCCAACATCCTTCAGATTGAAGACCTCCATTGACAACAGAAAATCCACCAGCCATTAACATCACTTAACTATAAAAATTTTATAAACAAATAGAATTTTAAATATACATATGTTGCTCAAGCTAAGAACGTACGTAATCTACAAGCTCGTTTCCCACAGAAAGCGTCAAACTATTCAAACTTTAGCATATAATCCGGCGCTGAATTTCATCAAGAATTTGCTATTTTTCAAGTGGAGACTGGAATGGAAAACATCACTCAATTAAAATAACTCAGAGAAACACGATGTGCTACCTAGAGAATTAACAGGCAATAAATTATCTAAAAAATGAAATTGCTTGGAAGGACCTGCTGAAAATTGGAGTTTGATATCTCAGATAGAAAGTTTTCACTGAGCTTTGGCAGCATTGAAGGCAGCCATGCTCGGTTCCCACTTCCTAGAAACCGACAAAAAGGGCGCATTTGGTAAGAACCACCAGTCCTGATGAATTACAGAATCTGTTTCTGCAAGTCGCTACCATTCGATTGGTACGAGACCTCTTTTCTTTTTCGTTTTTTTTTTTTTTTTTTTTTTTTTTTTTGAGAACTGGGAGTATTTCATAACCAGGGCCGAAGCCAAAAGAAACCAAAAAGCCACAAATGGCAAGCAAATACGCAAATAATATAACTGGAAGTAAGGGAGATAAAGAAAGGCACGGAAAAAGACCACGTCAGTCCTTTACTGTAATGTCTTAGACTAATACATATTTTACGTGCTCTTGATCACAAAAATGGCAAGCAGTTAAGAGATATCACTCAATTAAGTTCGGCATATATATGCATTCATACCATCTAGGTTAACGTTCAGTGGGCTATTCAATTTTGGCCTAAATGTTGAGTCGTATTGTTCATTAATAAAAGAGTATTGAGCTTGTTTGTATAATTAAGTATGCTTAAGCCCATCATTTTAAGTCAGCTTAAAACCCTAGCATATATATACATATATACCTTTAGGATCCTAGTGTTGCCGCATGACCTTGTTTTGCTTTTAAGCATTCAACTTCCTGTTAATATTTCTGGTTTTTCATCCATATCCCTTCACCTAGAGTTATCTCATTATATCTTAACTGATAAGTGATTAGGCCTTATTAGGCTTGTGGGTTTATGATAGGGATAAGAGAGTCTAGCTGCTGCACATATACATAGAAGTCCTAGTTACCTGGTTGAAGTGGCTGCCACATAACACAGACTAGATTAACAGAGCATTAGCACCGAGTGCATCATAATATGTTTTTATGTTTTGGCTGCCGCACGCATTAGATGAGTTTAGGGTTTTTCCTACTGCTGCTGCATATGCATTTAGGTTGTTTCCGTATGATATAAACACTAGCAGCAATGCATTAAACAGATAGAAAATCCATGTGCCGCAGGCCCTAGGGTTAAGTCAGTTTTTATTTTTCATCTTGATGAATCAGAGTATGTTTTTAGTTTGCTTTCACAGGCATAAATTAACTAGAGTGCAGAAAGATGGCCTTGCTCCACCAAAGAGTCAATGCAATCATCAAACATCTCCTGGATAGTCTTGAACTTGAATCCTAGACTCTGCAACTTTGACGTGTCGAACTCATAATATGGTCTGCTTACTTGCTTCAACCTGAAAATTCACATGTTAATTAAACTTCAAAACAACAGAGTATATATAAATTTCTGCTTGTTCAAGTTCATCTTCATATGTTTTTACTTTATTACCATGTGGTAGATCAAATGTAGCAAGCTTATCAATTTCTGACTGCTGAACTTATCAAAATCAAACACCGATGACATACGAATCACACATTGACGACACAACTATTTCAGCAATTGGGATTTGATCGATTTACCTTTTGGCAATAGGTAAGGAAGGATATCGCATGGATAATAAGGAAGCCAACTCATCGTTGTCCAAAACTGTTGAGCTACAAAGATATCGACCATGAGCACTTTCATGCTCATAAACCAAGATGTGACAGAGTGCAACATCATCAATGTGAACATATCCCATTCTTCCATACCATACGGTATCCCCTGCTTAATTGCTCAGGAAAAAAATAACCGTTTAAATTAAACCAAGATCAACAAGTGAAAATCATGCATAATCTACAGTGTATCGGTTTGATCTACATAAACCAGGCAGCAGCAGTAGTACCTTTAAGCAGGCTGAGTACCCGTGATGCAGTCAAACATAGATCAGGTGACAAACTAGGTCCAATCACCCACGCAGGTAGAACAGTTACTAAATCGATCCCATTTTCTTCGCAAAAATCCCCCGCTGCCTTCTCGGCTAGAACTTTAGATAAAGGGTACCAAAGCTTTTGTAACAGGTACACACACGGCCAGATCAATGAAGCGAATCATGAAAGCATACATAATTTGTCAGTGAATCAGTTACTTGGTTACACACACACACACATACACACACACACACACACACACACACATACATACAATATATAATGTACATGGCATAAGCAAATATTGAGATTAAGAAATGTACTCGCAGAGATCAACATAAATCTGCAATGCTTTTGCATCTTATTAGAGAGCTATATATAAAAAAGCAGAATTCAAAATTATTCTTAATTGTACCAGAAAAAAAAATATTAACTACTGAAGATTTTATGTGAATTAGGTGATGAAAGCAACCTGAAGTCTCTGGCAGTGTTCCACAGAGCTCCAAGATGATTCATCCAGTTTTAAACTGGATGCTAAATCTTCATCGGGTCTATTCCATAGAGCTGTAGAAGATGAAGTGAGAACCACTCGCCTCAGAGATGGATTTTTCTTACACGAACGCAACACGTTCAAGGTGCCCTCAATCGCTGGCTCCAAGACTTCTGTCTATACATGCATGACACAGAATAACAACATTCCTCAATTTGTGTGAAGGCTTAATAATTTGGGAGCCAGAAATTTGACACGTTATGCTATTAGACTATCAATCTGAACTATCGAGAAGGTGAACTTTTGTTCAATGTACAATCCAGACTATCAATTGAACTATCGAGAGGGTGAACAAGAGGGTGAACTTTTGTTCAATGTACAACCCAGACTATCAATCTGAACTATCGAGAGGGTGAACTTTTGTTCAATGTACAATCCAAATTGAAGATTTTGCAACCTCAAAGGCCCAGTGTTCAGGAATCAGGGTAAAAAAAAAAAGTTCCCTTAATTTTAAGGCATATATAGTCTCAGATAAGATGCAACATGCCTTTGGATCAGATGAAGGTTTCTTCAATACAGGGGAAGCAGAATGGAAGACACCATGGCATCCCAAGATTGCATCATCAAAGCTGCATTCTTTCATTAAATCAGCCTCCACCAATCTGAGTCTTTCTGTAGCTCCTTCCAGCTTCCATAAATGCGCCAACTTTTTCTGGTTTCCTTTGAATGCATTGCACAAACCAGAATATCATAATCTTATAAACATTCTGTGTGCGGACGTCAATTATTTGTTGAAGGAAGAATTTTGGATCGATGACACAATAATAAGGTTTTCTATTAACAGGCATATTATCTACCATTGTCATCAACATATATCATCGATACAAAATCTGTCATTTAATAAAGAAATGCATTGCAGGCTTTGATCATGCAGATTGACGAGGAGATTACCTAGATCTCTGACGGTTCCAATTACATGATAGCCCGACAAGAGAAGCCGCTTTATAAGGCAAGATGCCAGATAGCCGGAAGCACCCGTAACACAAACTTTGCCTTTGGATTCAAGTTTTTCATCCATCCCCTTCAAATTAGCAGCACTCTTCTACTGCAAGCCAAAATTGTTGAGTGCATAAAGTTATACTTTTACGCCCTCTTTTACTTAGGTTTTTGACTTAAAATCTCTATGCATCACAAAGTATTTTGTTGTTTGTATTGTATTTTAAGATGAAAGTAAGGGCTTGAAGAAATCATCTTATTTTAATATCTTAAGAGTCTAGAATGGACATTTTGAAGCCCAACTCGCCCAATACCAGACCATAGCCCACAAGTGGCCCAAGATCTGCCAGAAAAGGCCCTTACAGAACAGCCAACTTGCAAGCTTTGCCCCGAAGTGCTCAGAATGAATTAGAAAATGGGCCATATATGTTGGAAAGCCTTGGAAGTCTTCTTTCTGATAGTCTTTACAGCTTGTGATTCGGAGGTTTTGACAAGAAATTATGACAAAATAAAGAGGAGTTGTTCAGTTATAAATTTTGATAACAGCTAGTTTTCAGTTACTCCTATGCTAAAAGCTGATTGTAATGAGCTATAAATGAGAGTCAATTTAAGGATGTAAATGTGTCAGATGTTAGATAACTCCTAAGCCTTTTAATAGGAGACAAATACACAACATGAGGGAAAAAGAGGAGAAAAAAAAACAGAAAAACATAGAATTAGAAGAGAGTAAGAGTCTTCGGCCTTGAGCAGTTTCTAGGTTCTAGCTTTCCTAATTTTTTATGCATTCTGCCTTCAATTGTTTCAAGCACATATTTTCAAGCTTAACTACCTTGTTTATGTTTGCTTTATGTTGAGTGAGAATGATAAGGATGACTGCCATATCTTCTTTCATTCATTAGCAACATGTGGTTAGGTTCAGAACTAATCATGTAAACTGATTCCATGAAAATCTAGGATAAATGCCATGTTCTAGGGTTCATGTGATGTTCATAATCCTCTTCGTTCTTAATGAGTTTTTGGGTGCTAAATCTGAGTATATGCCTTGTTAGGTTGCTCCTACAAATATAAGTTTCATGTATATGCCATGCATCTCACATGCAAAGAAAATGAGGATTCATACAATCTAGTTATATGTCAAGCTAGATATGTGAACATCTTAGTTGTGCATTTGAAATAAATAAGTTAAAAGATCATCTCATTGATTTATGAATGTTTAGGGGAAGACATATTTATGTACTAAAAACATTTTTAACCTATTTCAAGTCTTAGGTTTATTTTTAGGTAATTCTAATTTTTCCCTTTTCTTTCTATCTTTATTTCTTTTCCAAAATTACTTAAACTCCCCAGTTTTAAATCATAGGAGTCATTAACTAATGCTAATATGTAAGAGTCAAAGGTTTTACTTATTTGTTTATCAGTCCCTGTGGTTCGACACCCTTACTTGTGCCACTATACTATCCTTATATTTGCAATCGAAAGGAACTTCAACAAAAATATATATTAATAACAAATGCAGATGGAAACAGGTTAGAAGAGATCGAATAAGTTATTGGGGCCATAAAACACCAACATGGGGTATTATTCATGAAGGTGAATTTCACCATCACTCGTTAAATTTTCTTTGTAGTCTACTGGGTGAAAGAGAGGGGGGGGGGTGAGCACATTACTTTATCCAACTTGACTACGCCCAAATCTGTTGCTTTGTAGTCTAATTGGTGTATTCAAATGTGTGCATTATAATTTATAGACTTTCAAACCGAACTGTCCAAACAAAATCCAAGCACTGAAACCACACGGCTGCAACCCATCAAACCTCTCCTCTTCCTTGCACCCGACTGCCCTAATCCAACAAGAAAAAAAGAAAGTGATTTCGGCAGACATTTTCCCTCCCCATCCTCACCAATGTATGTTCAAACCTTTGGAGTGAATAAATTAAAGGAGAACTAAGGATGAAATAAACAAAATTGTGCGGATACTCAATTTCTTCTCTTTTTTACATTCACTCACTAGCCAAATGCAAAGATTAGTAAATTACTTGTTTATGCTGACCTTATCTTTTTGCATTGGTTATGAAGGGGTTAATGGGACATATTCAAGATGATATTTTTTTGGTGTATACTTTTTGCAGATGATGTTGATAGATGAAATGCGAGAGGGAGTAAATGCGAAGTTAAACTTTTGGCAGGAAATGTTGGAACTAAAGGTCTTCGCCAAAGTAGGTCAAAGACAAAGAATATGGAGTACAAGTTTAGTGGAAATGGAGGTCCAAATGAAATAGGGGTGATGATTGGAGATCAGGAAGTATCAAAGAGTGAACGCTTTCGTTATTTTGCATCTATCTTGCAAAAGAACGAAAAATTGAATGAAAATCTCGACCATGAAGTGGAAGACTGCATAGGATGTGTTGTGTGACCGTCGTATGCTACTAAAGTTCAACAGAAAATTTAATAGGACGACAATAAGGCCATCAATGTTTTATAGCATAAAATGTTAGGCGGTCAAACATCAACACGTGCAAAAAATGAGCGTAGTGAGATGATAATGTTTTGTTAGATGTGTGGACACACGAAAAATGATATGATTAAAAATGAGGATATCCAAGGTAAAATAGGAGCAGCTGCAATCAAAGATAAGATGCGACAAAATCGATTAAGGTGGTTTGGACATGTGAATCGAAGATCCACAGATACTTCAGTTAGAATATGTGAGACAGGGACTCACGACAAAAAGAGTAAAGGAAGATCTAAAAAAACTTGGAAATAGACTTTTAAGAAAAGACATGAAACACTTGAAGCTAACTGAAGATCTGACGCAAAACCTGGCATTCCAAGATTCATACGCTATTCTTATTTAGTAATCTATTAATAATCAAAACCCATCTCCTATTTCTCTTACAAAACTGGAGAACCAAAGAGCGGAAGAAAATATGTTTAATGGGTCAGATTGTTTATGTTTGCTAGTTTTTCTCCTATTTCTCATGAAAATTGGAGAACCAAAGAGCGGAAGAAAATATGTTAAATGGATCAGATTTTGTTTATGTTTGTAAGTTTTCAGATTGGATTAAGTTGGATTTCTTCCGAGAGTGAAAAAGTAGGGATGAAATAAGATACCGAAGGTAAGAGACGAGAGAGAGAGGAAAACCAGACCTGGTTTGACTGTTTGAGGGCTCCAGCCGGCAGGAAAATGGTGAGACCCAGTTGCGGAGAACCCAAGTCAAACATGTCAAGTTCAGAAGAGCAGCATATATTCTCATCTGGCAAAACTTGACGCCATTCAGTCTGTTGGATTAGAATAATGCTTGGCATGGCCAGAATAAAATAAATATCTGTAAAGGGATACTAAAAAAGAGGCTCTCATTTTTTCGTCTTCTTGTCGTCCAAAAATTATTTTTTTAAAATTGACTCCATTCAAAGCCAGCTTAGTTACACTCTATCGAACAAACCGACAGTTATGATAATAAGTAATATGCATTTATCAAGACCACAACCACTCGACGGCAGGCAACCCCCTTCCCATCGTCAGCTAACTCCATCTCTAATTTTATATGAGGATGAGTGAGATCCTCGGTCGACCTCGTAGTTGCTCCATGCAATTACAACGCAAGTAGAGGATTAATTGAAGTGGGGTATTGAAATGACGTCAATTAGATGACCTGAGTAAAGTTTGACGTAGATTGCCGAAACTATATATCAATGGGTACGAGAGAAAGAGACAGAGAAAAAGAGTAAGGTTTCTTAAGGTAATTGAAATTGGTCTATGGTGTTTGATGAAGAGTTGGAATGGACATGAAGGAACTGACATTAGAGACGAGGAAAATGATGATTTCAACTTGGTTGGTGTCGTTGCGATGGCTTCAACTTGCTGGGCTCATGTTTTCGTTCATTCTAATTTTAGTTTTTTAATTGAAAATTAAAGTTTACATTATTCTAATTTTCAGAATGAACCTAAAAAGTAAGAAAAATTAACACAAAAACAAAAACAAAAGAATAAAAGGTTAAAGATGGTCCTTATTAGTCATTCTGCAAAAGGTTAGAGATGTCATTAAAACTATCGTTAAAAAGTGGATGGAAAAATAGCATTGATGGGTACGAGAGAATTTTATAGATCACATGACACATTAACAATTTGCCCAAAACATCAAAATTCTACTATGCAACTGTTTTATTAGTTTGTTAGCAATTCAGTTTGATATCCATCTAGAAAGCTTGGAAGATAATTGTACATGCTACTTCTCACTTGCTTATTTGTCAAGTGCTCCTGCATATCAATATGTGCATAAAAGCTTTTCTTGTCAATTCGTGAAATCATAAAGGAGGACAGAGAATCTTCGCTGTTTGGGGCTTTAACTTGTACCCCCATTATAGCTTGGACGGTGTTCTCGGCCTCTCCATATGCTTTTTGCACGTTTCTCACATAGGGCTAATTGCCAGTGCGAAAAATTTCGGATCCAATTCTTGACCAATAAGTAATCTTATAAATACATTGAGAAGTTCTACCATTTTTAATTGTGAGTGTGACAAAAATACATGTAAAAAAAAAACACTCTGACACTCATATTAATGAGTACTTAATATGATTGTAGGAGAACTTTAGAATAATTTCATATCTACTTTCTTGTAGGTACGTTAGTTGCCATTTATATGTATAGGCTTTGAAGTATTGGGCTCCAAGTTTCACTTCCCTTCATTTTTCTCCATAACTCATTGGATATTCCACAAGGGCATGTTAGTGGGATAGTGCAACATCTCTTCAGCATGATTATAGGGATGAGGATCCTCTCGGAATCCTCACATCTTTGTCGTTCATCATACGTCGTGTTGCCAGTTTTCTTTAGATATTATTTGTATTTAATTTTAAATAAAAAAATTCAAATGATTTCTGACCGCACAATATATGATGAATGATTAGGATATGAGAATCCTTAAGATTCTTACAATTTGGATCCAGATGGGATCCAAATCCTGATTATAGCTCCACATCCTGATTTTTGAGAGTAGTGAATTGACTTCTTGAGGGGAAAAACTACGCTCCCACATGCCCAAGTAGAATCAAGTCAAACTAACCCAAGTAAATCCTTATAATTAAAGGAAAACTAATGAAAATGACTTGAAAACTTTAAGTTTTAATGATAAAGACAAAATAAAGGGTAAAGTGAATAGTATCAGAATTGACTTTTTAGTGTAAAAATATGGTTTTTTGTTAAAGTGAACAGTACCGTGAGTTTTTCATTAAAACTCCCTATAATTAATCTAAATCAAATCAAAGTATATATGCCACTTATACTATAATTTAATAGTATTCCTCTTCACTTGTAAGTAAGAGGCCTTAGGTCTGATTATCGCCAAGGGCGAATTCGAACCATATTATTGCTAACCCATTGTGAGGCTTAACCTACTTCCCTATCTCTTTAGTCGAGATAATATCGTTTGTTCAAAAAAAAAAAAAAACTACTCTTTTGTTAACTTATTTTCGACATTTTAATCACGAATTTTTTTTCAAAAAAAATTGTTTTAAAGAATGTCTCCATTCCACTACTTGAGTTGTAATGTTTAATTTAAAATATAAAATAGTTGTTGCTAATTGCTGATGTATACAAAGTTAAAAAAACTTTGGTTCAAAATTAAAAACTAATAACGTTTTAATCAATGTACACTAGTGATTAGGAGCCCCATCAAAATCCTTCTTGATTGTTTTGCTATCAAATACATCAAACTTCATAGATTGACTCTTGATATTCCAAATAGATTCACTTATCTAGTAGAATTCATATATTTATTTAGAGTTCATGCATTCTTTGGGCAATGAATATGGTTTCTGTATTTTTCTCTAATTTTTTGGGCCAAATTTGAGATATCCAACACCCCAAAAAAATGACTAATCCCCATAGAGACCCAAAAAAGCTAAAAGTATTTCAACCCACCTATGGGCATAGTCAAATGTTTATAAATAGATGAAGCACTTATAATTTATAATTTAAGCGACTGAGATCACGTAGTCACGTACGGAAACTTTTGAGTTTGAATTCCTTTTTTCTAAATATCACTTGTCTAAAAAAAAAAAAAAAGTGGAAACATTTTTTGTCAAACATTTTACATATTATATTGTGAATCCAAAGTCCAAATCATTGATTAAGTAGTACAGGCTAAAGTAAAGTTATTAATTACTTTATTCAGCTATTGGCAGTATGGCAAGAAAATCACAGAGCATAAATTAACTAGAGTGCAGGAAGATGGCCTTGTTCCACCAAAGAAGCAATGCAATCATCAAACATCTCTTGGATACTCTTAAACTTGAACCCTAGACTCTCCATCTTTGAGGTGTTCATCTCATAATGTGGCCTCCCTAGTTGCTCAAACCTGAAAATTCCCACGTCAATATTTGATTAATCATCTGATACAATTGATACGCTTAGTGTGACACTCGTTTTTTCTTTTTTAGAGATTAGGATTCAAAAAAATGGATCGGCCCGTAGCAGGAACTGATAAATTATGCTTAATTAATTGTAACTGGTAAAAAATCAAACCTTGCGGGGATAGGTAAGGATGGATATCTTGCAGATAATAAGGAAGCCAACTCGTTGTTGTCCAAAACTGTTGAGCTGCAAAGATATCGACCATGAGCACTTTCATGCTCATATACTAAGATGTGACAGAGTGCAACATCATCAATGTGAACATATCCCATCCTTCCATGCCATTTGAATTTCTCTGTTTCTCCTGCTAGAATGTTCAAACAAATAACCATTTAACGCGCTTATGATCAAGATTATACGAAGCGCTTATGATGCAGGGACATAAATCAGCAGTAGTAGTACCTTTAAGCAGGCCAAGAACATCTGAT